ACCATTCGATATAGTGTTTTGATATTGGAGAAAAAAAAAAAATGATGAAAGTAAACGAAGGATACACGAAGTTCATTTTAATTCGATCATCGTAACAATCGATTCATTGTATCTGATTAAAGTTTTTTTCTTTTCTTTATTCATTAATTCTTTTCTTTCTTTTAAAATTCACTATCAGAATCAACGATTCTTCTATACTTTTTTTTTTTTTTTTTTTTTTTTTTTTTTAATGATTATACATATAATATCATTCGTTGATTGTTAATTATTATCAAAGAGTTTAGAAAAGATATGGGACAAAGAGGAAACGAAATTAAAAAGGAAAGAAAAAGAAAAAGGAAAAAGAAAAAAAAAAGAAAAATTAATATTAACAAATAAACAAAAATGACAAAATAAAAAAAAGGGATAAAGATAACGATGAGCTTTTCGAGCAAAGTTAGTGGTATATTAAAATCATAGGGTAAGTTCTAAAGGAGAGCCATCTTTTCAGGCTTATTAATTAAGAGAGAAGGAAGCTCTTTTCAAGCGGGCCACTTCCTCAGTTATAAAACAACATCTTAGCGGTTTCTCTCTCTTTCTCTCTCTCTCTCTCTCTCTCTCTCTCTCTCTCTCTCTCTCTCACCGTTTCTCTCTTACTTTAGCCCGAAACTTCTTTCGATGGTTTACGCCGAGTTTCGTTGTGGTTTTCATCAGATAGCTCGGTATTCGTAATCTTATAAGTAAATTACTGGGAGCCTTCTTCTCAATTTCCCTGTTTTTTTCTTCTTCTTTCCTTTTTAACTTAACGCTTTAAAAAATTTCACCCTTCAAGCCACCCTTCTCTTTCTTTCTCTCTCTCTCAACCTCTTCTCTAAAAAGAATATTATTGATTTACTGTTCGTGCTTATCACGGGAGTTCAATTAATAAATGTATAATTCAAAACAGTGAACATCACTCGAGGATTGATATGTTTTTTTGAAATCTCTCGTTAAAAAAAAAGAAAAAAAAAAATAAATAAAAAATAAAAAAAAATAAAAAAAGAAATAAAAAAAAAGAAAGAAAGCCGAAACATAAAAAAGAATAAAAAACGAAATAAAACTAAAATAAATGGTCTAGCGCGTCGAACGAAAAAAAAGAAGAGATATTTAATTTTAAATATCAAAAGAGAATAATAATTTTAATGGATATCTTTAAAGAAAGAATATTTGCAATGTTTAATATAAATACAAACGAGACCCTTCGCGATTTATCTTTTCTCGATAATTTTTTTTTCTTCTCTCTCTCTCTCTCTCTCTCTCTCTCTCTCTTTCTCCCTCCCTCTCTCTCTTTCTTCTCCTTTTCGACGAAATCTCTAAAATCTTCGATTTCTATGCTCGTAAAAATTGATGTAGGTATCGAACGAGACAGAGGAAGGCCATGATCACACGTCGTTACCTGCCTGTTATGGCCTGGATCTGGATTGCTACTATACCACCCTCGTTCCGATCAATTAATCATTGTCAACGGCGATTCGTTTCCTGTTCCCGCCCTGAGCACTAAATTCAACGCAGGTACTGTCAATGAAAAGCGAATTGACGACCGGTGGTGTAACTTTGACTCACGAGTTCTGTCGAGAGCCAGCTTGATATACTATATAACGGGGTGATATCGTTAAAAAGAATTATATGTGTGAACTCATCGATTTTTACAATATTTTTTCTATTATTTTTTTTCTTATTTTTTTCTGGTTTTTTTTTTCTGGTTTTGTTTTTTTTTTTTTTTTTTTTATTATTATTAACACAAAAAAGATGATCTCCGCGATTTGCCGAAAACAAGGGAAAAAAAAATAAAAATAATAATAAAGAAGAGAGAGAGAGAGAGAGAGAGAGAGAGAGAGAAATATAATGGGGGAGAATTTTTCTTTTGAAAAGAAAAAGAAGAAGAAGAAGAAGAAAGAAAGAAAGAAAAAAAAAGAGGTCTCTGGAACATAGTCGTTACATTCGATATCATTTGTACGAGAGAACTTCTCTTAATTTTATTAGAAAGGACGAGATTATAAAGTTAGAAAAGGGAAGATTTCAATTTAAAAACTTTTCATAGAATCATATTCTTTACGTCGCTTAATGTTCTTAGTTCGCAAATAAGATTCGATCTAACACAATCCTTTTACCAAGTTACCGATCGATCGATTCGATAAGAATAGAAATAGAAAAGGGCCCCGATCGAACTGATGCGATCTTTTTCCCCCGGACAAAATCTCAGGTTAATGGGATTTCGAGAATTCCAAAGATCCCTGACGTTCGTGGAAACACGAAACTTTTAGCTTTTATCGTTGAACGGACGTAGAACAAACCTATCGAGAATGTCGTCGAATTCGCAAAATCAGAAATACGAACTAAAGAAATTCCAAGTATTTCTAATCTTGTGAATGAATAGCTCTCCCCCTCCCACCCACCCCCTTCCCCCACGTGTATTCTCTTGATATATAAAAAAATCGAGCTTTGTGTCGTCTGCAATTAATTTGCGAAAAGGACGAAAAAAAAAGAAAAAAAACAAAAAAAAAAAAAAAAAGAAGAAGGAAAAAGAAAAAAGAAACAAACACAAGAAAGAAAGAAAGGAAGAAAAAAGAAGAAAGAAAAAAGTTAAAAAAGAAAAAAAATAAAAAAAATAAAAAAAAGAATCTACAAAATACATACGTTTACATTTACATATATATATATACATAGACGAGACATTAAAAGAAACACGATTGCTTTGATTCGGCACGCTGGCAAGACTCACAGTTTAAAAAAGTATTCGATGATGGCTCGTAAAAATTGATACGCCGACACCAGAGGCGGTTAACCGGACGTGAATGCAAATAAGATCGATCGATCGATCGTAAATTTTGTGAACAGCCACACGACGTAGAATCCATAGGAAATATTACGAATTTTTCCACATCCCTGTTAAGCCGCCCTTTCCTCTTTCTCTTCCTCTTCCACATTTTCCTCCATCCACCATCGCCATTACCATTGCCATCACCATCACCATCACCATCGCCGCTACCGCTACCACTACCATTAGCATCGCCAACACCATCACTATCACCGACCCCCCCACCCCTAGGTATTCATTTCTCTGCGTCAAAACGCACCGGACCCATTCGAGAATGACAAAAATTTTATCGTCCACATTTCGTACACGCACGCAAATTTATATATTCTCACCTAACCGATTTTTCCTCGGTTTCAAACCTACTCGCCAATTTTTTTTCTTTTTAGTCTCTCTCTCTCTCTCTCTCTTTCTTTCTCCGTCTGTCTGCCTGTCTTTCACTGTCTTTCTCTTTTTCTCTCTGTTTCTCTAGTTGTTGTTTCTTTTTTCTTTTTTCTTTTTTTTTTTTTTTTACAAGGGTCGGTCGTCCGTCGGTACAGTGACCATTTCGCTAGCTCTTTTTACGTTAACAAGACTGTCCGGAAAGCGGCCGTCGGTTATTTATAGGCGGACGTACGTAAACGTACAAAAGTGTAACGTTCTCTCTTTCGTTTAACCGGGAAATGATCCTTTCAGGTATACGAGCGTATTCCTCTGTTCTTTCTCTCTCTATCTATCTATCTCTCTCTCTCTCCCTCTCCCCCCCCTCCCTCCCTTGTAATGTTAACAAAAATGAAGTTAAAAATACACGACAAGCAATTATTTTTGTGATGTACGTTTATAAAGTAACAAGATTAGAGAAAAAACTTTAGGAATATAAATATTATATTATTTTGAATTATTAGCATGAAATAATTGTATCACTTGACTAAATAGAGAAAATTTATAGAAATTTGTTTCGGCGAATTACTGTAAAGAATTACGAGGATACGGTGAAAAGAAAGAAACGATTGAGTGTAAAACGTAGGAAAAGTGTATCGTCGTAAAGGAAATTTGTTTTAATCCGATACTCTGTCAGACGTCTCACGGTTTACACGATACCGGTAATCCCGTAGAAAGTTTTCGTAGATAGGAGCTTGTAAAGAGACAAGCCCTAATTTGTAAACGACAAAAGGACATAACAACGGCAGAAAATGCGCTAGTAGTCCGATATGGTACAACTCCGCGTTGTTTCGTTCACAAGAATCTTCCGACAAAACTTTTCCTCGAATGTCTTATCCGTTTGTTGTTTCCCATTCCCATCCATGCCATTCTTTAGACACTTTTTCCAACTCGAACTTCTGTCGCTTGTTTCCGATAAGAAAGTCGAATTTTTATCTGTCTTTAAGAACATTATATATCCATGATTATATTTTATGACGAATTCAAACTTGAATTTTAAGTAATTAAACTGGACCCGATAGAATGACGAATTATTAGTTTTATTTTTAGCAGGTGAATATTTAAAAAAAAAAAAAAAAAAAAAAAAAATGTTTGAAACATGTCCCCGGAGATAAGCCACATTTATATGTATAAGTAATCCCGGAAAGTAGGCTACCTTATATGCAAATAGAGCCCCTGAAAGTATTCTATATTGTATATATAAAGAAGAACCCCCTGTATATAGACAAACTTGTATACATTTTTTGTAAAGTCTATTTTATAAGATATACAATATATAAATTATTACGACACTTTATTCGTTTGTTTTGATTAACAATAAAATAGTTAATAATTTTAATTGAAGCAAATATCGTTAAATCGTAAAGCAGTTTAGTACCTATCTTCCAAATTGATCGTACACGTCCTACTAACGCGAAGTTATTTCCCATCTAATAAACTTCCCCGATTGCATCTCGTAATAGAATCGATGCTAATTTATAGCTATATATTAATAGAACGAGATAGAGAGGAGAAGGAGAGGAGAGAGAGATAGATAGAAATAGAGAGAGAGAGAGAGAGAGAGAGAGAGAGAGAGAGAGAGAGAGAGAAAGAGAGAGAGAGAGAAAGAGAGAGAGATAGATAAAGGAGGAAGTATAAGAGATGAAAGAAGATGATCGTTGATCTATATATATTTAAAGCAAATCATTCTAATGTATTCGTTGGCGATCATCATAATGTGATATAATCTGCCGTATGGACCACTTACCAGATCTCCACATAACGCACCATAATCCAGATAATAGGATAACAAGCGATGCATTTGCCAGTAACCAGGACAAATTTCAGCAAATATGTTCCATGTAACCAACCAGTAACACACGATTTCCTTTGATAGGTTGCTCGATATTGAGAATTTTTCATTGATCAATACAAAGCTATAATACTCTTGATCGATAAATCATGAATCATCGTATAAGCACCATTCGTCGAATCTATAAAAGAAAACGAGACATTATTAATTTAATTAAAGATTCATTCTTAAATGATATGTATTACAATTTTCCAGAGAAACGGAAATAAAAAAAATTAAAAAAAAGAAAAAATAAATAAAAAAAAAAAAAAAGAATTAAAAAAGATAAATTAAAACGTAGTACTGTTGTTAATTTAAATACAAAATTCTTGCAAATATACACATACATACGTATGAATCTAATATGAATTTAATCAAAGATTTCAAACGAACGTACGCCCGGATATCCGGATATAATACACATATATATATATATTAAACAATCTTTCAAAGATTTTAAATGAAATCAAAAAAAAAAAAAAAAAAAAAAAAAAGAAATAAAGGAGAATAATTTCATACGATTCAATGAACAAACGTACGACATTCGACTAAGTATTGTATAAGTGCTTCTCGTCCAGACGAAAGGATGACATGCAATAAGAGAAGAATGTGAGTAGAAGGGATGAGGGAGGTTAGTGATAGAGAAGAAAAGAGAACAGAAGAGAACAGAATAGAGGAGAAAAGGGAGAGGTAGAAGGGAGGATGAGTTCATAGGTAATGGAATTCCATAGTTTCGTGACGGGAGTGAATCAAAGCGACCGTGAAGCCACTCGTTGACATGACAATTGCACCAATCATCAATGCATGAATCACGGGCAATCCACTTTGGGATCTTTCCCCTCAACCCATCCTACTATCTCTATCCATCTCTATCTCTACTTCTCTGCCTCTCTATCTCCACCACCTATCCCCTCCTCTCTCACTCTGTCTCTCTCTCACGTTAACGTCGTGCCTCGTTACGCGTCGAAGTTGCGTTGTGGAAAGTTTGATATCGATCTCTTGTTCCGATCTACACGCTTCTGTGAGCAACTTAAACGTAAATCTCTCTCTATCTGTCTCTCTCTCTCTCTCTCTCTCTCTCTCTCTCTCTCTCTCTCTCTCTCTCTCTCTTTCTCTCCATCTCTTTCTCTCATATCCTTTCTAACTCTTGATATATACGTGTACGTATGTGCGTGTGCGTGTATGTATATATATATATATATATATATATATTATGTATATATATATATACGATCAAAAGTTTTGCACAAACACGATATGGTTTTCGGGACACGGAATTACCCTCATCGATAATGCCGTAAAAGTTATACTCGCACGGGACGCGGAACTTCCAGCCCGGAGAATTCGGGATTCAATGGAATACGATCCTTTCATGGATGCTATGCATCTTTAAAATTTGATTCCATCGATGCATTCGGTAGGACGAAAAAGAAGAGTGGGAGAAGTAGGAGGAGAAGGAGAAAGAGGTGGAGATGGAGGTGGTCCACGGCTGGGATCGTTTCATACTGAATTTTAATACGTGCTTCATCGACCGTACTTTCCTACGCATGCACACACACATACACACACACATACACGTAAATACAAACGTACACGTACACACATACACATAATGTATATATATATATGCATATATGCTGTATGTATGTATATATGTATACACACACAGGTGACATTTATAAGCTCGAACGTGAGAAAATCATTTACGTGAAATCTGTGATAAACGAGGTAGGATAAAGAATCGATTACATGGGAGCCTAATATCGATGAGTTTCGAACGTTTCTTCAAAAGCGTATCGTAACCCGTCACGAACCTTGACAAAATCGATTCTAATGAAATTCCACGAGTGGTACTGAGACTACTATATATATATATATATATACACATATATATGCATATATATATATATATATATATATATATATATATATATATATGGGCAAATGTATGTACGCATGTGTATACATATGTATATGTAAATGTGGATGTGGGTGTGCATGTGTATGTGTGTGTGTGCATGTACGCGCGCGCGTGTGTGTGTGTCTGTGTGTGTGTGTGTGTATGTGCGTGCATGTATGTCACTCACGTGATCGAATCGAAGTGATCGATAAGCCAACCGCGTTGACATGGTAATTGCATCCGAAATTGAGCGAATTAGGAATCGAATCGCAGTCCACTCGAATACTCTTAATCATCTTCGATGATCCAAACGAAAGAAGATAATAAAATATATAATATCTTAGGATATATATATATATATATATATATATATATATATTCATAATTGTTATCATTATCATTAATTATTTTGAAATTATATAATATTACTTGATTTATTTATCAACAAACAATCATTTATTATAACATAACTTGATTGCCATGGCTTTTCACTTATTATTCAAATGAACTTAATTTCAATTCCTTTTGTTTATTTATTAATTTATTTATTTTATTTTTTTATTTCTTGTTTTTTCTATTCATTTCTAAATTCCACAAAATATAATATATGAACATATTTACGAACATATAATAAAGAAGAACTAACGTCTCGACAATCAACGTGTTAATTGTTTATCTAATAAAACTGTAATGAGATTAGTAACTATTAATGTTAATTGTGAGAAATCATGGTCTCGGAAATAACAGATTTAGAGAGAGGATGAGAGTGAGAGAGAAAGAGAGAGAGAGAGAGAGAGAGAGAGAGAGAGAGAGAGAGAGAGAGATGTTGTGTAAAGCATTAAGTCAAACGCACTGGAGTATGTCTTTTGGAATCCGAAGCGAGTTTCCTTCCCTACGGATAAGATTTAGTCTCGACCTCAAGATCGTACCATCTTCTCCCAGAATCTTCCAATCCTATCCATTGCATTTACGACGATCTAAAGGAACACGCATTGCATCGGAAACGTGCGATATCTAGTCTCTCTCTCTCTCTCTCTCTCTCTCTCTCTCTCTCTCTCTCTCTCTCTCTCTTTCTCTCTATCTATGTATCTATCTATGTATCTATCTATTTATCTATCTATCTATATCTATCTCTCTTTTACTTTTATTCCCTCGTAAAAATCACTTCACACGGTAGAAGACATTATCAACTGGAAATAATCCTTCCTGTATACGATTTAATCTGATTTCGAAATGTAGACATATAAAATGCAATTTTCGAAATATAGAACGCAAATTGTTTGCTTACGTTAGATAAATATAACAAATTAATAAACGTTAATATGTTAATCGATAGATTTAAAAGTTTGAATATGATTGATTTACGATTGATTACTTAACTTTAATGTAAATAATCGTTCTCTATATTACTGAGTAATATCCAATCGCGAAATGATATATTCAATTTCTTATGTTTTATTTATCCTAAATTTAATTTTATATCGGTCGTTTAGAAAAAGCTTACATAAATTTTCAAACCCAGACGATTCTCGTTCCATTATTTAATCAACTTACTAAATATAGTTAGAATGTACGTGAAAGATAAATTTTCGAATAACAGGAACGGATTCAGTCGTGCGATACGAAATCGCCGCAATGGTAAGATCTTGATGACGATGGGTCGAGAGTCAAGAGTAAATAAGAACGAACGTTGTGCGCATAGAATTCCTATGGGATACACGGGATACGAAATCAGAGAAATGTAGCGTAGCGAGGAAGTGGATACGTTGCATCGTAGACTAGACACTACTACGACTCTTCGAATGATCTGTCGTCTGTTTTAGGAATGACGTTGTTCTTAATTTTTTTGCCAAAGCTTTCAAACCATGCCAGTTCAGTTTCTACACACACACTCTCTCTCTCTCTCTCTCTCTCTCTCTCTCTCTCTCTCTCTCTCTCTCTCTCTCTCTCTCTCTCTCTCTCTCTCTCTCTCTCTCTCTCTCTCTCTCTCTCTCTCTTTTGTTTTTATTTCTTTCGATGGTAGATACGTAAAAATACTACTTTTCTGTTTCTATCCTTTACTTTTCAATCGAAAAGAAAATTGCAGCTAAGATAAAGATCGATGCACATTGTCTTTACATTTGATTGATATGTAGTTCAGAAAAAGTATGATAACAGATTTTACAAGATTATTCGTCATTTAGATCATTCGAATATCAAGAAAAAGAAGAAGAAAAATAAGAAGAAAAAAAAGAGGTAGAAGAAGAAGAAGAAGAAGTAAAATCTCTGATCACTTCTGAAAATCATTAAGATCGTGAACTTCCTGATCCAAAGTAAACACAATTAATTTTCTCGAAGATGCATCAAGTATATTTTGTGTATGTGTGTGTGTGTGTGTGTAGGTAATACACATATATAAAGGACGAGAGAAAAATCTCTGATAGAAAAATTGCAATAAGATATAAACTTGATCGTTGGTCGAATAACATTTTTCAAAAGTCTTAAAGTTATGAAACATTGCTGAATGAAAACCATTAACAAGATCAAAAGCGTCAAAGAAGATGCATCGTTTGCCATATTTGTCGGATAATAAGAAAATTCATAATTTAATTTCAACTTGGTTTTACTACTAGCAAACTTTCTTACAAAGCTTAACCTACCGCCCTAACTCTCTTCTTCCCTCTTCCATTCTCTCTCTCTCTCTCTCTCTCTTTCTCTCCCGCCTGTCCTCTTAACCCCTCTCAATTTAGCCTCTCTCACCGAACTTACAAACATTAAAGATCTAGCATCATCCTTCGAGCAGGTACTACGGTACGCTTCCTCGATTTTATCCGATAAGCATTCCAAGTTTATTTTCTCTACCTTAAAAACGTACAGAGAGGTGGCCCTTATTTCTTTCTTTTTTTTTTTCTTTCTTTCTCTCTCTCTCTCTCTCTCTCTCTTTCTTACTCTCCCTTCTTCTTCTTCTTCTTCTTTTTTGCCTTTTCTTTTTCTTTTCTTTTTATGAAGCAAATAAAAATTCTTCTACGTCGTTACTAAGGCAAATATTGAAGTTTCACGGGAAGGAAAAACGTAGATATAAGAGTAGAGTATTACGATGTACAACAAGGAAAGAACGTAGGGTAATAACAAATAGGACAAGTTTGTCAACCCTTTTCCTATTGAAAAAGTAGAACGACACCTCAAAGGATGTTTCTCTGCGATCTAAGAGTATTTACTGTCCACCTGGGCGATCTTTAAAATAGAAGAAGAACAAACGATTTTATTCGACGTGAACGTTTCAACATTGTGATAGCAAAATCCTTAAATATATTTATTCTGACACATTACTTTTTTCTTTCTTTTCTTTTTTTTTTTTTTTTTATTTTTTTCTGAAGACAGCCGAGGAAAATCGCCTGAACATTGTCTCTGAAAGTATTTGGAATTCTCTTAGATTTACGAATATTCTTTAATCCTTACAAAAAAAATGTTAATTCAAATTAAAAGCGAAAGTTAATAACTTTTTTCAAATAAAATTAATGGGATCAAGTATCGTTAACAATATCGATGAATTTGAGCCATAAGGTGATTGATTTTACAGAAAAAAAAAAAAAAAAAAAAAAAAAAAGAGAGAGAGAAAGAAAGAAAGAAAAAAAGGGAAGAAAACTAACTATCATTGCGTTAGTATTTAATTCAATTTTACAACAACTGCGTATGCTGTGGGTTTGACGAGTATACTTCGTCATTTTTTTTTAAATTTTTGCCACACAAACATATATATATATATATACATGTATATATTTTAAAAATATACCTTATAGAATTAATGGGTTAATACATCATCGATTTAGAATTAGTTTCAACGAAAGAGTCCGCGAAACGATTTGAAAAGTCACGGATTGAAATTCTTGAACGAACAAATAATGGAAAATTTGAGTCGATACAAAAGAAAAACAAGAGATTAACGGAGGAAGAGTAGAAGTTGAAAAAGAGGAAAAGGAGGAGGAGGAGTAGAGGGGAGGAGGAGGAGGAGGAGGAGGAGAGGGAAAGTAATACTCGCGCTGAGAGAAAGAAAGAGTGAGAGATCAATTAAAAGGCAGGTGCAGTGATCCGAGTTGCGGCGTTTTAATTAATTTCTCTAGCTTTCGAAAAAGTATCTCGAGAAGAGAGAATCGCTATTAGACTGTAAGATCCAATCGAACGATTCCCAAAATTCTATTGGTAGGAGTGTTCCTATTCAATATAGAACAGAAGAGAGATAGAGATAGGGAATAAGAGAGAAAGAGAAAAAGAGAGAGAGAGAGAGAGAGAGAAGAAGGTGAAAGGTCCTTACGAGAGAAACGGAATAGTTACTTTGACTGATGCGTTGAGCCACGACAAAGGATATCTTGGCCTGAGAACGTGAAGTAGTTTCAGTGAAGAAAAAGGAAAACGCCTTCGAAGCAATCAAGGTTCGGGACCAAAGAGCAGAACCTGACTAACTCATTTAGCCGAAGCAGCCGGGACACTTAATGAAGACAGTGGCGAGAAGACAGTAGGAGCCACTCGCCGCTGATGTTCTTGAAGAAGAAGAAGAAGAAGAAGAAGAAGAAGAAGATGACGACAACGACGAAGAAGAAAAAGAAGAAGAAGAAGAAGAAGTAATATCGATTTCGCCTTTCGATTCAAGAATGGTTCAAAGTAGACGCGGAGACTATGCTTACTACCTTTCCTCTACAATAGAACGTTACACTCCTTGGACCTAGATAAAAGCGAAAGCGTGTTGAGTCTAAGAGTTTCAGGTGAAAAAGAAAAGGTAGATAGGAAGGAAGGAACGGTGGGAGGGAGGGTAGAGCGGGGGAGGGTGGCAGGGGCGGGTGGAAGAGGATGGGCCGTGTGGTAGAGGTACCATCGAAAGAAGAAAAGAGTTCTCTTTCTAAGAAAGAGAGAAAGAGTATAGAAAAAAAAACCTGCTTCTCCCTGCAAATAAAAAAAAAAAAAAAAAAAAAAAACAAAGAAAAAAAAACAAAGAAAAAAGAAAACAAAGAAAAAAAAGAGAATAAAGAAAAAAGAAAAGGAAAGAAAAGGAAAGAAAAGAAAGAAAGATAGAGAGAGTATGGGAGTGAAAATGAAAGAAAATTTTTGTTCACAATCTACGATCGCCTATTCATTCAGGCGATCAAAGAACAAAAGCGTCTGTGTATAAGACCGTATCTACTTAAAATTATATATATATATATATATATATGTACATATCTATGTACGTATTCGAAGTTTTTCAAAAAAAAAAGAAAAAAAAAAAAAAAAAAAAAAGAAAAGTTAACGAGAAAAATAAAGAATAGTGTAATAGTCAAAAAAAAAAAA